CTCCAAGCTTCACAGTCGGAAGGGTGAGACATCAAACCCTCTCTGGTTTCATGCTCAACATGCCACGTCATGTGTTTTGCAGTAGCATTTGAAGCATACATCCTCTTCGGGCGTGGAGCTAGAGGGAGGTAAAACAATTTAGACAATGCAGACCTTTTTCGTGGGTTTTTCCGTCTATGAGAAACATGCTTGTATCTCTCTCCACCACAGAACTTGCAGCTCTCAAGTGCCACATCATCCTTCCAGAACAACATACATCCTTCTGGGCACACATCAATTTCTATACAAGGAAGACCCAACTGAGACATTAATTGTTTCATTTTGTAATATGAATCAGGAAGATTATGGTCACGCGGTAACATTCCTCTAAATGACTGCAATAACCTAGACATGCAAGATTCAGGGAGACTGTATTCAGATTTAATGTTCATCAACTCTGTAACGGCGGATAGCTGAGAGTATCCCTCACAATCAGCATACAGAGGCTGATCGGCAGCTTTTAAAACATCTTGAAATCTTTCAGCTAAGTCTTCAATATGAAGAACATGAGAATTCGGATACTCATCCGCATCAGGCTGATAAAAGGTCAGATCTTCATCCGCATCGGGTTGATACGAGGTCGAAGCTTCGGGAAGATCGTTAAATGGCTGTGGGGAGTTAAACTGAATCGTTGAAGCACCGTATACATCATATGCCATTCTTTGATCTTACGTCAATTGATCATAGTCTCCCCATCCACTCATCTCGGTAGGGACGTTACGAGATGAACCCACTGTTTGTGATAAAAGTGATGGATCGAAAGGTTCGCCATGAGAAGTCCAATTATAATAATTGGCAACGAAACCTTTTTCGTACAAATCCCACACAACTTGGTCGACATCTTTAAATTAAAGATTTTTACACTTTGTACATGGACATCTGATTTTATCGCCATCCATATAATTCTTCTGTTCTTGTGCAAATTTAATAAAATCTTCAACACCATTAAGAAATTCACTGCGTATTTCATAGTTATCGCGATGTTTTTGGTACATCCAACTTCTGTTTTGTCTATACATTATGCCTTTATATTATATTAAAAATATTATATAAGTACATTAAGTAACGTTCAATTAATATTATTAATTAACTAAAAGCAGTACATTTGTAGCATTAATAATTTGAATTATCTAACTTTTCAATCATGACTAATTCATATTTAGAAACATTAATATGTTAAATTTCACTCAAGTTCACTATTAATATTATTAATTAACTAAAATAAATATGTTAATGGCCGAAATTAATAATTTACTAATATAATGTTCACTAAATTTAATACAACCTAAGCTAGCTCGGTTGAACTTAGTGAACTTAGACTATTTTATATTTCACTCAAGTAACATTAATATATTAAATTTCATTAAAGTTCACTAAAATTAACTAACGTTCAATTAAAATTACTAATTAACTAATAGTAATATGTTAATGGCATTAATCGTTTCAATTATTAACTAATTCACAATATTAGAATTTGTGCACCAAACACACTAAATTATTACGTTAATGGCATTTATTCACAATACTGAAATTATGAAAATCTAATAGTACACATTAAATAATTAACTAACATATAATACTAATTAAAGTTATTACGTTAATGGCATTTATTCACAATACTAAAGTTAACTAATTTAACTTATTAATTAGTTAATTTCCATTTAACTAATATTGTTAAATATCATTAATTCACAATAATATATAATTCACACTTAACTAATAAATTTTGAATCCTAACTTAAATCACTACAAATCCTAAATTATGCATTAACAATAATTATTGCTAATAAACAAACCTAATCATCATTGGTTATAAACACATTTCAATTAACTAATATTTAAATCTAACTAATATTATCACTCAAATTCTAAACTCATTTCACTAAAGTTCAATGTTTTAACTTAGTTAAAATGATTTATTACATAATTAAAAGAAATTAGTTAAAATGACATACCTTATCTGCATAAACAGGAAAAATGATGAACTGACAGATTACATCATTCAATCTTTAAACCGATACTACATCACTCGAATCTACGAATTTTTGAACCGATAAGGGATAAGTGTTGTTTTTGCAATTGTAATGGACGATGGGGTTGGGATATATAAAAAAAATTGTCACGGATTTGTCACGGATTTATCCGTGACAACCCCTTTTTCATACTGTATTATTAAAGGTTACCGCTGGAAAATCAATAATTGAAGTTTGTCACGGATTGTGTCACGGATGGATCCGTGACAAACTATTTTGAAATTTGTCACGGATTTTTCACGGATCTGTCTGTGACAAATGCCCGGGAGCAAAAAAGTTTTCGTCGGAGTAAAAAACCGGTCGCCGGAGTAATAAATTTGTCACGGACCAAAAGTCGTGACAATACTTTGTCACGGATTTTGTCACGGACCTATCCGTGACAACACATTTTCGTGACAAATCCCAATATTCCGTGACAAAACCCGTGACAACTTTGTCACGGCCGTAATCCGTGACAAAAATCCGTGACAAAACGCGAGTTTTTTTGTAGTGATAGGTAGTATTCTGTAATGGGAAGATACAAAGTGGTCATAAAAAGAGTCAAAGGGTAAACATTGAAAACTATGTACGAAGTATATCCTTTAATTTTTTACAACAATTGTATGTTGCAGTTCGGAAGTTGTGAAGCTCGATGACTTATTGTTTGTGACATAAGTTGGTGAAAAAAATCTGAAAAGATTACCATCAACAAAGAGGTATTTTATATGATTAATGTGCTTATTAAAATGCTAAAAATTATTATAATTGTCTGTGATTTACATGATTCTCGTGATAAATAATAATATGTTTTTAATGCATTTATATACTAACTTTTACAAAATCTAAAAATTAGATTCCATACAACACACGAATCAGACATTAGTAAGACAAATAATAGAAATATGTCTTTATTATTTAAAGTAAATCAAAATGCTTAATATTTATATTCAGATACCCATTTAGAAAATATATAAAACGTGATTAATTTAATATAGAACTAAAATAGAAATTTAGAGTTATGTAAGCGACAATAGTTGTTTCTAAAAGAAAATTGTCTAGAATTAAATATACACAAAAAATATGATATATTATTGAAAAACGAATAACAACATTTTATTTACAAGTAGGGATATGATGGCAAAAGAAGAACCAAAGTTCAGAAATCATCCAAGATAGGATCAACATTTGTCCGTGAACCCGAATTATCTCTTCACAGACAATTTACTTTTTTCTGAATCATAGACATTTGCCTTGACTAAAATGAAAATTAATTGTCTGTGCATTGGCAAAATACATTTGGCATGTATACAGACGTGTAAACCGACGTGTAAAAGTAATATGTAGCATTTTTGTAAAAGTACAGTAGGATAACTCTCGTTTGGCCTTTAACCGACCTCATTTGGATTTTAGCCTTTGTACTATTTTAATAGTTTCTAAAAGCTTCTAGTTGAGTGTTTGGTCGCATGACAAATTTTAAGAGCATTTTTAAAATGGAAAAGATCTTTTTTGAGATGCTACACTGAGTAGTATCAATGAAAAGTCTGTTGATTTTAGTATTAATTCATTCTAACAACTTGTATGTCAAATAAAACTAAATCAAACAGTCAGTTTTTATTAAACAACCAACACATTTTTCTTTTAAGATCTTTTCAATTACTAAAAACTAATAGTTATTAGAAACCTATAAAAATATTTTTTTCATCTAGCTGTGCCGAATATATCCTAAATATATGGGGCCTCTTTTTTGCTAAGTACAAATCTCCAAATCCTGATCGAAGTGTGTCCATTAGTGCAGAGACTAGGGAGAAGCTATGACTAATTTTTTGGTTCAATAAAAAAATCCGTATACGAGTAATAATTAGGATTAGGATGACAAAGTGAGATAATGCAAGCATTAGAGTATTTCACGGGTCGTGTTTGTTGAGTGCGGAGTGCCGTTGCTTTATTTTATCGTTTTAAAATAATTTAGTTTTTTTTTACCTTTGAAAAAGCTAATTCCTCCAAATGGTCGTTGTGTTTGTGTTTTTTAAAATATCTTCAATGCTACAATGTGCACAGTGCACATGTGGCATGAGAGAGATTGACATAAAAGATTGATTTTAGGACATTTCTTTCTCCGTGTTTAATTTCCACGGTCTTATGTGTTTTTGGTAAGTTTTTCCCTGCAATGTCAACTACAATGTTTACATCTAGACATTGTGCTTGATATTGTGAAGAAAAATTTACCAAAATGATATAAGATCCTTCAAAAAAAGGAGAGATATATTCTATTTATTGTTTTTTCATTGACTATCTCTCATGCCACATATGCACCATTGACATTTTAGCATTGAAGATGCTCTAAGAAACCATTCAACTAGGTTAAAAGTAACATAAGAAGCAAGTTTTCATAAAGTTAACTTGGTAACATTTTTTCATAAATATCCTTTGAATAATTTTTTCACACATTTTCACCTTAGCTTTAATTCAAACCGTTGACAATCAATTGTACCGTCAATCTCAAACATTTTTTTACATAAACACCTCAAATGGTTCAAGTTTCTAATATAAACATTTGATGAACAAGAACAACTAAACAACAACTAAGGCGGTAAACGAATGGAATAATTTTGATTATATTTATGTTTTGAATTCAGAATTATTGATTCAAATGTGAACCAACAGAATATAAATAATTTATGAATTTTTTTATTCAAACAGTTTTCGAATGTGAATACAGACATTATTATATTTGATCCGAACAGTATTCAAATATATCTGAATTATATAAATATCTATTCAAATATATACACTATTACAAAGTTTGCTTTGATAAGATTAAAATTTAATTTTTCTTCGAATTACAAAATTGGAGTATATAGAAGCGGAATCAATTCAAAAGAACATTATTTGAGGTACTACATTAGCTCTAATAAACTTCATTTTTTATGTACCTATATATGTGTCTGACCCACATCCGTCTTTTAGTCTTTGTCCACATCGTATAAGATGTGCTCTTCTTGTAGTTACTTATTTATGTTGGGTACATACATGGGTGTATAGCTAAGAATTAGTACAAAGAAAATTCAATTTACACATATACTTCTAAAATAGGGTAATCCATGCAACTTATAGGATCGAACACCGTGGGAATTGAATCTGCCAAAAGGAAGACAGCGGAAGAGATGACTAAGGAGGAAGAGGAGGTGGCGGTGCCGCCGCCGGAGCCGCTGCTGGAGCCGCCACACTTCGTCCTTATACATGGAGTAGGAGGAGGAGCTTGGTGTTGGTACAAGCTGAGGTGTCTGATGGAGAGCTCCGGCTACAAAGTCTCGTGCCTTGACCTCAAAGCCGCCGGTATAGACCCGTCCAACGCAAATGATATACTTTGCTTTGAAGATTACAACAAGCCCCTCCTCGATTTCCTCGCCACCTTGCCTTCACACCAACAGGTAAGTACGAGCCCCTCATGTTCCATTGTTTATCATTTTCATTTTGGGATAAACTCAAATTGGATACTATGATTTCATGAGAATCTCATATTGGACACTAAGGTTTTAATGGATTAAATTGGTCACTATGGTTGTTACATATGTATCTAATATTGAACACTGAAATTTCATAATTCATATTTTTGAACACCCACTTATGATTCTCTTCTTCCTTTAATAAAAATCGTCAGTCTTACATTTCGTTTCCTTTTTGGTGAAAGTAAACCAATTTAATTGCATATATAATTTTGGAATATTTAATTTGAAGTTTTAGAATATATAATTAGATTATAATTAATAACTTCTTGTATTTAACAATTAAAAAATATATTTAGGACTTTTCATTCATATGATTTTTATGGAACTTTAAGAAATATCGATTTGTTAAATTGATTTAAAAATATTAATGAATTCAATTACATTATAATAGATTTTCTTAATTGGACCATCTAATTATATATTCTAAATCTAAATACACAAATTAAGTTATTTTTATTTTTTATGTACATCAAACCAGGAGAAAAAGGAATACTTATATCTTTCAAGGTGAAAATCTTTATGAATGTCCGAAAATGATCAGAAAAACGTAAAATATGATTAATTTGAAACGTTAGTGTCCGATATGAGACACACAAGTAACCATAGTGTCCAATTTGGTCCAATTGAAACCTTAGTGTCCATTATGAGATTCTCAAACAACCATAGTGTCCAATTTGACCTTTATCCCTTTTCATTTTCATTTACCCCAGTGGCGCAAAGACTCCCACTTACGGTGGGGTAAGGAGGGTCGGATGTACGCAGTCTTACCCTGTACTAAAGCACATAGAGACTGTTTCTGGATGACCCATAGTGAAAATCGCGTCCAAAATTGCATGGACTGACTGTTGCTCCATAACAAAGAAGCGCAGACAGTTTAGTGAGCCATGTTGCTTTATTCCATCATAATCTCAAGCCAAAAAATAATGAATCTTTGACTCCATTGAAAATAATGAATCTTTACCCTCATGTTCGGTTGTTTGCGCTACAAAAATACACGAAATCATGGGATCTATGGGATTTGACGGAGATTCGTCAAAATTTATAAACTATTAATATGGATATGTCAAAAACATTTTGGCCCGAAAGTTATTAGCACGAAATCATGGGTCAATCCTGTAGCTTTTTGTAGCGTTGGACATAGCATTTTGTCCAAAACGGTGATTTTTTAACGTGCAACGAAACCGCTGCAAAGTGCATCTTGTTTGCGCCAAGCCGCTGAAAAACAAACAGGCCATAAGGCCATTGTCTCCCTATCTAGCTCATACCCACCTTCAATTTTCTTATAATTTCTGTAGTTCATAAATAGATGGTAGATTTCTATGCATAATTGTAAAAAGAAATTGCTTAAACCAGGATTGAGATATGAACTAAATTCATGGAAAAAGATTAACCGTGTTTTCTTTTCAATACAGAGCTTAACTGAACTTATATAAGTGGAAAAGAATGACAACCCGCAAACATAATTAGCTAACTAAAATAGCTGATACAATCAACTATTATCAATCAACTGTCATAATCTAATCGTTAACCGTTGTTTGCCAAACCAAACCATTGTGTTTTATTCCAATTCAGAATTTTTTCTTCATAATTCCACTATCAACGATTTGTTCCTTTTTTCATGTAAGAAAGAATGAGGTTAAATTTTATCCGTTGTCACGCGTTATCCCTTCTTACTCTATTTTTTTAATGTATGAAAAATTGTTATTCGGAAAATTCATATCACTGAACTACAAAAAACGTATATCTTCAACTAGAATTACCATCATGACTATTTTTTCCCATAAAACTTGATTTTTTATTATATTATATGCATTAACTGTTTTTTCATGTTAACACACATTCTTTTTTTAAACGAAACGTACGAGTATATCCCTGTTCGTATATCTTACTACTCCGTATTATATTTTAGTCTTATTATTATAGTTTTGGTAAAATTATACTACGTATTATTTAACCACAAGTTGATGTTATAAAAATGGAAAATTTCCCAGATAAGACTAAAAAATGTGGGTGCTTATATCTAGATTATTATCTCCAAAACCTTTGGATTTTTATTAGGGATGACAATTTAACCCGACCTGATGGATACCCGCACCGAATTGAACCGGTCAAAATGGGGAAAACCGCTTTGACTGGGTAATGGGAATGGGGCGGGGAATACCCGATTTATGTAAACGGGTAATGAGGCGGTTATGAGTTTATACCTGCCCGACCCGTTACCCGCATCGTTACCCACCCCGTTTAATTTGGACACGGTTATCCACATCATTACCCGACCCGCACAATTAACTTACATAGTTTAATAGTTTATGTATTTATTATTTAATATATTAAGTATATATGAATAGTAGTACATTAGTATATGACACTTATTTCCTCTAATTTTTTGAAAAATATTCAACTAATCGGCTATCCTTTGCAATTCTGAGGACTTGGTGCTCAAAGTTCACTATTTTAGATTTTTAATTTTCAATATCATTCATCATCCTTCCTTTGTTAACTTCTACAAGATTTATTTTCTTCATATATTGATTATTTGATTTTTGTGATTTTCAGTTCACAATTTTCACATTGTGACTCTATTAATTTTTCACCCAATAACTTTCATAAAGCTCACATATGAGTTTAAAGTCAAAATATTAGGAAACATTACTCCAGATTGCTTTAATTTATCTAATTGATAATAATTTTGTAGTGGTGTATTGGATGATTATATTAATTTTGATTGGTTGCTCTAATTTATATCAAGTTTTAAATTTAAATTATGAGGTTCCTAAAACAGTAAATACAAGAATACCTAAATCATAGTATTAGAAGTATATTTTTTAGAAATAATTCCAAATCTATAATCAAAATAAAAGTTGTTGACAAAAATAGGGTTCTAGTAACTTTAGTATTTGTAATTTTATTCAAATGTTATATCGTAGTGACTATAAAACTTACTCATGGTAACTTATAGTCACATTTATGTCCATATATTTTTTATTAGTAATATCCCTAATTTTTATAGACATCACAAATCAGGACAGTTACCCGTCATACTCTCTAGCTTAGCTAGTACTACTATGATAGATCATAAGTGATAGAACTATATACTATCCTCTGTTCTTTAATTCTTGCAGCAATTTGGCTTTCACATTTCCCAATGCACAACTTTGACTGTAATTATATTTAATTATGTACGAAGTATTAGTAAACATTATAAAAACTTGATATTTTGGAAATTCACATTGATTAGAATTCAATAACATTTTATACGTAATAATTTGATTATGTATATTAGTATAAAATCGTGGTCAAAGTAAGGAATGTGAATAGTGCAAAAATTAGAATGTTGCAAAAATTAAAGAACGGAGCAAGTATAAAAGAGAATCTGAATTGATACATCATTTTTCTTTTCCATTTTTTATACACGCCCCGAAAATTAGGTAAATTGGACATAAAAGAACAAAGCAAATAAAAAATCCGATGTAACGTAGGGTTAAATACGATATACTACAAAACTCTATTTTAAAAATATTAATATGCATACACATACTGTTCACATGATAAATATATTTTCAATGACAGTGAAAATAAATCATGTGTATCAAGAGTAAATTTGAGATCCGGAGATTTCAAATATGCCAATAATACATGATATTGGATTAAAAATGTGGTCACGTTATGGTTTGTAGATTAAAAAACTGTTAGTGCACCCTTTAGGCCTTTAATATAATGGTTAAATATTAATATGTTAGTTTGTATATTTAAGATGTCCCATGACTTGTTAGAGCAAAACACTGTTGATGTTGTGACTGAGTCAGGATCAGGTCGAACGATCATTAATTTGAAATTATGTACTTAGTTCTCTTTACATTATTTTTACAGCAAATTGAAGTTCAAAGTGGTGCATATTATATAGTTTGTAGGTTAGTATTTTAAGCATGGTTTGTATTTGATCTCTTATCTATCTATATATGTGTGTGTGTATGGACATTATGTTTACTCTATTTGTAGTTGTAAAAGTGAAAATGATCCTAAATAGGAGTAAATGAATTTTGAAATTGATATTAATAACACTAAATATTACGTATTTGCAAAAAAAAAACAGTAAATATTACGTAATATTATGTTAATTTCTAATACCCTAACTATTTTGACAATAATAAGATGAGAGTAAATACTAACACATTACTCCCTCAGAATGAAAAAATTTAACAGTGTTATTTTGGAACTTTATGGAATTAAAACCATTTTTTGAAGTACACACATATTCATTCATATATTGGTATACAAGCGTGCTAATTAAACGAGGAATAGGTAATCTTGGTGGGGCATAGCGCAGGAGGATTGAGCGTTACAGATGCGACGTACAAGTTTCATCAAAAGATAAGCCTAGCAATCTACGTCTCTGCAACAATGCTTAGAAATGGCTTCACCACCGAACAAGACATCAAAGATGTGAGTGAGTACATATATACATTCAATCTTTACAACATATTACACCACAAAATGTTTTCTTAAAAAAACTCAACTATAGCTTATCATATTCCTATGGTCCCAATGTTATCGGATGTTTTACTTGGATTGTTTTCAGTCTTAAATCAGACCAGATCAAACAAATTCATATCAAATCAAACCAGATCACACAAATTCAGATCAAATCAGACCAAATCGGATCAGACTTTGACAGTTATAAAGTAAATAAAAATACACAGAAATCAGACATTTATCAGACCAGACCAGACCAGTTGTCAGGACTCAAACATAGGACTTAACTTTTGTGACACCTCTATCTTAGACCAGTTGTTATTATTATGATTTTTGTTTATTAAACTAAGGGAAAAGGTGCAAATAAGCACTCAAACTAACCGAAAAAGTGCAAATCACCCCTTTTATAGGAGACTTTGTCTGGCCGCACCCCCATTTGAGGGGGTTACCGGTGAATTTTTTTGATTAATTTTTTTGAACATCTTCTACATTAAGTCTAGTTTACCCATACCAAATTTCATGTAAAAATTCAATTGGGAAGACAGTCAAATGATTTTCTGAAATATACTGCGCTATTTAACTGCGCTGCTATCTTCAAACATTTATTTGACTGCCTTCACGATTGAATTTTTAGCTGAAATTTGGTATGGGTAAACTAGACGTAATGAAGAAGATGCTCAAAACATTTCATCAAAAAATTACTCCTAGAACCGCCTCAAATGGCGACGGCCGGACAGAGACTCCTATAAAAAAAATGTGATTTGCACTTTTTTTCCGATTAGTTCGAGGGTTTATTTGCTTCTTTTCCCTTAAACTAAAGAATAAACTACATGGATCACATTCTTTCTTTCTTTTCTTTTTTCTTGCAAGATCATGCCATGTGACGAGAAAAGATTAAATACCTTTTCTTTTTAATAACATAATAATGCATGTGAGGGGAATATAGACTTTTTTGTTTGTAGGTTCCGTCAACCTCATGTGACACATAAAAACTGACCGACCAAAAAAACATACTATAAATAAATGCAAACTTTAATTAGGATTTGGTATAATGATAGGGTTAAATTTGTTTGTTTGCTTCTCGTTTTTTACTTTCGGTGAGATGTTTTTGCTTGTATTTTTTTGCTTGTTTTGCTTTGGTCACGGGCCCACGTCCCATGTTGGACGTAATATATGGAAATATGGGTTGTGTGTTGTAGATCTTCCTATTCTCGACAAATATTGACCAGATGCTCCTTTATGTACACATCCATATCCAACGAGAAAATACACCAACATAAAGAGAGGATACTTTTTTGCCCTTTGACTAAATTTGTTTAAGAAATTGGCCAAAATTGGAATATAAACAATAAATTTTCCCTGATTGCATATAGAAGTATACATTATTACTCCTTCCGTCCCGCAAAGAAGTTCCCGCTTTCCTTTCTTAGCAGTCCCAAAAAGAAGTCACTCTTTCCTTAAATGGGTAGTAATTTACATCAAAATAGTGTCAAACAGTGCAAAACAGTGTAAAACTGTGCCAAACAATGTCGAAACAGTAAACTTTACCCCCTACTAAGTTTATTTCTTTAATACGTGTGTAGGTCAAAGTGGGGACTTCTTTGCGGGACAGATGGAGTATATGATTTCATCAAATAGGAATAATTATTGTTGTCTTGAAATCATACTCTCATATTATGATCACATTATAGTACTTGCATATATATTATAAGGAGTATGTGATCAGGAGTGGAGTGGAGACGGGGCTGGAGGGGGTCTCGACCACCCCAAGAAAAATTTTATGACGTATATACATATGTAAAAGTATTTACACTAAGTAAAAATACAGTGAAAATTTAAAATTTGATCCCCACAACATAAATTGTTTAAGCTCCGACCTCGTAACTAACCATTTCTGGCTCCTTCATTGTATGTGGTAATGTCATAATATGAAAGTACATTACTACTTCGGAAGAATATACATTGTACCTTGTTTTAATTACTCTCACATTTCAAAATTCCTCTATAGCTATAACAATTAAAGGCTAAGATTTGAAAACACACAGGTGAGATGACGGCTCACAATTTCACATAATTGCCAATATACTTAAAGTTATCTTTTGGTTTTTGAAGGTTGACAGGTTGTTTTTAGTAAGTCTTTTCCATGACCGAAATGCAGGGAATTCCGGATGTGTCGAATTTTGGGGGAGTGGATAATGTGTATGATGTGGGGTTTGGCCTCGGCCGGGATGGACCTCCTACTAGCGCTATTGTCAAGAAAACAATACAAAGGAAAATTATCTACCAAATGAGTCCACTAGAGGTAATTATTATTACTTATTTTCGAGAAAGATTTGGTATTTACACTTTGAGATTTCATATTTGGACTTCATATCAAATGTTGTGTTGAATTCCCACACCGGAAACGTGTGAAGGAATTAAGTGTTATATAAAGATCTTGATTACCCGTCTTATCAGGTTGACCTTTTAGGATGGAACCCCGGACCTTAACATGGTATCAGAGAAAATTCTGGTTGTGGTTTGACGACTTATTTAGCACCCATGATTAAGGGTAACTTGTTAAGGGTTTGTTTGGTCCGTTTATACACCCCGATATTGTCCAGCCCGGTTCGGGCAGAGAGGTGTGTTAAAGCATTTGTCCCACACCGCAAAGCTATAAAACAATTAAACACTATATAAGGCTTTGAGCTACTCCTCCTATCAGGTTGACCTTTTAGGATGGAACCCCAAGTCTTAAGATGGTATCAGAGCCAAACCGATCCATGGTGTGAGCCCCCTTATGAAATATGATTACATGATTATAAAAAAAATGACAATGACGAATCGATGAAAAAATGAATGATGGCACGATCCATACGAAGTGTCTGATCGTGAGAAGGGGTGTTGAATTCCCACACCGAAAACGTGTGAAGGAATTAAGTGTTATATTAAGATCTGGATTACTCCTCCTATCAGGTTGACCTTTTAGGATGGAACCCCGGATCTTAACATGTTGCATTCTTTTTATAGGTTGAACATCCAAGAGTGGACGATAATTAAGTTAAACATTAAACTCAATCAAGTGGTATATATAAATCTAACCAAATGAAATCAAGCTATGTTTACCATAGAATATCTAATTGTGGTAGAAGTGGAAAGTTAGGATGTTTATAATTAGATCGAAATTTTCTACTCCGATCTGATTCGGTGATTGTTTTATGTGTATTTTATTACTCCGTATTATGAATTTTGATGTTATTTGTTCTGGTCTAATCTTGCCTGATTTGATCTGATTTGGAATGAGACTGAAACCAATCAAACTTCCTAATGATTGTTTTCTCTCAACCACCGTTGATTTTGTCTCGATTGCCCTAGGTCGAGACAAAATTGAGACAAATTCCTCGAAAAACACAATTCTAAGACTAATAACAATATTATCTACAGTAAAAGCAAAAAGAAGTATAGAAGACGTACTGATGGATCGCCGGACCAGGGGGTAGTCGGAATCCAAGTAAAACGAGAGAGAGAACTGATCGAAAAGTATAGGTAGATAATCCGGCAGAGTAACGGTACGAGAGTTGAGAATGCGATCCCTTTCCACAAGTTGGAAGGTGATATTTATACAAGAATAGGCAATACTTGGTGCTCAAGTAAGAAGATGTTGATCTAATAAGAAGATGACACACGTCCAATCTATTCTAACAAACTAACAGTCTAAGCCGATGGAGAGCAGCCATGTGTAAAGGTGATCGGAGAGATAGTCTTGAACAACTGGCTGATTGGAGTTATTTCTAACAAACTGTTACCAGAATTCCAGTGTAGTTACACGTGTGCAATCCGGGATATTGCCCACTGCTGGGAGTGACACGGCATCATCTTCTTGTGATATTTGTCCTCGTGTATTTGTTTAAGCCCATAATGCTTTGATATGACCCTGAGCTCATTGAGGTCAGTAGTTGGAGACTCGGACTCATCATTGGAGAATTCGCCTTCTGTCTTTGGTTGTGTCTTTGGTATGATTGATCATCTGGTGCTGGCGTGGGTTGACTCTGTAGTGATGTCTGAGGTCGGGCCCGGTACCGAGCTTAGTGCATTCGAGGTCGGGCTCCTAACTTGCCGAGTTTGGTCGATTCCTGAGCCTGGTATTTTTCCCGACCTCGGGGGCTGAGGTCGGGGTCAGATGACTCCTTGGTCCTTGATCATTCTGCTGCCTGGCGCTTGTTCCTGACCCTGGTTGGTCGGGGTCGGGGTCGGTTCCAGTTGTGAACTTAGTCTTTATATGCACTCCGGTGTGGATCCGTGATGCTCTATGCCGGCGATTATGATACCCCTGTGCTATATGGGAATATACTCCATCACATACATGTGAAAATTTCTTTTACCATTTCATCCCAATGTTGTCGCCTACTTTTGCCACAACGATGATTCCAAAACTAGTCTCTTTAAGCCATCTCCAACAGTTTACACCATTTTTACACTAAAATGGTGTAAACATCACAACATTCAGTATTTTATCTCTAACATTTTTCACTAGTCTTATCACTAAAAAGGAATATGCTTTTTTTAATTTTTTGTACTCACTTTACCATTATATTTAATTCTCTAATTATCGTATATTTATACATTAGTCCCTCATTTAATATGTCTTTTGACATTTCACTCATATTATTTCACAAATACAAGTTAAAATACTACTTTAATCAATATTTCACGCATTTCACTCATTAATAATACAATAATCAATATTTCACAAATACATGCTAAAGCCTTATAAAATTAAATATTACAATAATATTATAATAATTCATACTTCATAAATAAAATACTACAAAAATTAAAGCAGAAAATTAAATAAATATTCTTAGTTTTGTTGTCGGAATTTGGGAATTCTTCCCACAATCGATCAATTAAAGCATTGTGGGGCTCAATATGAGTGTTTTTGTCGTGAATTTGTTTATGTCAGGTAAGAAATTGTGCGAACCTCGCTGCCTCATCAACTGCCACTTCAACATCTGGAACTGGTGTATCTCTCACATCTTCAACTGATGCATGTATATCACGTTCATCCTCTATTATCATATTATGCATAATAATACATGCACTCATGATGTCATGTAAGACATTTCTTAAAAAAACGTGAAGGTCCCGCGATCAATGCAAATCGGGATTGCAAAACTCCAAAGGCACATTCAACATCTTTTCTACATGCTTCTTGTCTCATGGCAAAATATTTCATCTTTCTACCTTGTGGTTGATGAATTGTATGGACAAGTGTCAACCACTTTGGATATATACCATTCGCTAAATAGTAACCAAATCAACATTGTACTCTTTTCCTTGAATAATATAATGATCAGGAGGAGCAATACCTTGTGCTAAATCTGAAAAAAGATTGAATGCTTCAAAAACATTAATATCATTATTACTACATGGTATTCCAAAATATGTGTGCCATATCCAAAGATTGTAATCTGCCACAGCTGCAAGGATGATCGTTGGTGAGCCACTAGAACCAGAATATTGTCATGCCCGTGTCGTTGTACAATTTTTCCATTTCCAATGCATGCAATCAAGAGTTCCCAACATTCCTGGGAATCCACGTTGTTTTCCAATGTCAAGAAGTCTCGCTATGTCATTGTCATTAGGTCTTCTTAGATAGCGTTATCCATATAATTCGACAATAGATCGACAAAACCTTTTCATACTTTCGATTGATGTAGACTTGCCTATTTTAACGTACTCGTTTGTTGCATCCCCAAGCACACCATAAGCCAACATACGGAATACAACAGTTATTTTTTGTAAAGATGATAATCTGAGTCTACCTGTTGCACTTCTTCGTTGGTGAAAATAGTTGTCATGATTTGAATTTGCACCAACAATTTGTAGGTGCAAATCTCGCGACATACAATATTTTCGACGAAAAATGCTTCTCCGTAATGTGGATTTGGAAAGAATTTGTCCAGGAACAGATTATGGTCTCCCATTTCTCGATCACTGTTTATCACCACATGACCATGAATTGATCCACCGTGCCTAATAGGCTTATCAAAGTCACCAATACAATGACTTATTGTCATGTTGTTGTTTTTTAGTGCAACCACCATCATTTCTCTCCTTCACCAAGTTGTGCAATAGTGTTCATCACTAAAACATCATCATCTGAAGAAGAAGACGATGATATGTAAGAGGATGCTCCAATGTTGAAGTTCATTTTTTTTGTTGATGTGGTGATCCATATTATGTACTAATTTGTCCATAATTATACAAGTGATAGGAAATCTCAGAAGATAAGAATCTAATGGTTGTGAAGATAAGGAAATCCATCCAACAAGTAATCTAATGATTCCCTATCAACTTGTGTCTCAAATTGTAAGTAGTACGTGAAAGTATGCTTATCTCAAATGATAAGAACCCAATGGTTGTGAAGATAAGGAAATCCATCCAACGGGTAGTCTTAAGATTCTTTATCAAATTGTTTCACAAGTTGTACGTAGATGACAAGTATGCTAATCTCAAAAGATAAGAATCTGATGGTTGTGAAGATTAGGAAATCCATCCAACGGGTAATCTAAGGATTCCTTATCAACCTCTACATTCTATAAATACTAATGCAATGAATTATCACTCTTCATCAAAACCTCGATCTCACAATCTATAGTATATCCATTTTCCTTTACGACCAAAATGACTTCAAGATCAAGTAGTTACACCATAGCGGAAGACACATTGTTGTGTGAAGTGTATTTACACATTACTCAAGACCCAATAACCGACAGATATCAATCTGCAAATGATTTTTGGTCACGAGTTGAGGCTAAATACAATGAACACCGTCAAGAAAATTACGAGCATCGTAATATACACTCACTTCATTCAAGAATGGATATTAAACTACTCTGGCATGAAGGCTGAATGGGTGTGTCAACTGTCAATCAAGTTGAGAATTTGAATCCAAGTGGTGCTTCTGAAAAAGATATTGTAAGTATAATAGAATATTAATTTTCAATAATTTATTTACTTCTATGTAATACAAATAATATTTTAATGATTTGCAGCTAGATCGTGCTAAAGTTTTATTTATGCGAGAACCAAAATATTCTAAAGGTTTTAAGTTTGACCATGTCTAAGATATGATTAAGAATTTTCAAAAATTTAAAGATAACGTGTCAACTGCAAGACATGCTGCTCCACAAAAAAGACAAGTTAACTACGACTCTTCGCAATTAGACTTCCATCCACCATCTCCAATTTTATCATCACCTGGATTGTCATCTTCGTTCGATAAAGAAGTTGATTCCAATTCCAGATCTGATTTTTCGA